TGGACGATGATATCTCCATAAATTTTAATCCCCTAATCATTGGGAAAAGATAGAATGAACTATAAACTATCCCGTTTGATTATGAAGTTAATCACATAAATAAGGTACAATATTCAAGCAAACCATACATCAAAAGAGAAGAAGAATTCCTTTATCATCCCAAGGGTACTATGAAATCTCAGGAGGAATGGGACCCAACACCCAATTTCATATCTAAGAAATTATAGAAAGTATCAATTTCAATAATAATGTAGTTTGAAGATCAGATATCATCAAAATAATACCCATACCGATGGCACATTCCAAAACATTGACTTCCTCGCTAAATACAAATATAGAAATGTTAAAAACTTTCTATGCTCCTCCAAAAGAGATCTCAATGAACGTGGATCCATTTTATATAAATCAAGAGTAATACCACATCACATTACTCATGAAATATAATATGAAGATGATTGGAAATATGGAGAAATGTTGATCACCATTCCCCAATATCCTCCACCCATTATGAGAAAGCTAATAGAAAGAAGAATCTTCTTTGTGAAAATAAGCAAGCAAGCCCATTTCTTCAGAAAGCTCTATCCTAATGAGCAAGCATAAAAGCCTATTAGTACTGGTTTGTCTACAAAATGGGGTCTTCGATATGCTCGACATTCATATCACACATGAGTAGCATCTTAATACTATATTGAATACCCAAGACATTCACATCTTACATATGCAACCTCCTATTATATTATAGATAAGGAAGAGAGACCATCAGAATATGAAAATCAGGCAGAAGATCTAATTGTAGAATTGAAAGAAGGCCCAAAAGAGTTTGAAGAAGGTGGCCATGCTATTGTGGATGAACTCAAGGAGATTAATTTTGGTACTGAAGAAGATCCCAAACCTACATTCCTCAATGCAAATCTCTTGCAGGATAAAGCAGAGGAGCTAAGAATGTTTCTTTTTTAATATAAAAACTGCTTCACATGGAACTACACTGAAATGCTTGGATTATCACCAAAACTAGTAGTGCACAAAATCTCTATCGACACCATAATACCTTCCTGTCAAGCAAGCACTCAGATGAATACGACTTGAAATTGAAGAACAATTCATTGTTAGAACTAAGAAGCTTATTGAAGCTGATTTTATTTGACAAGAGAAGTATGCTGTCTAGATCGCCATTTTTGTTCTAGTAAAGAAAAATAATGGTCAAATTCATGTATGTATATACTACCTATATTTGAACAAGGCATGCCCAAAGAATGATTTTCCCCAGCCAATACAAAACTTATAGTTGATAACACATCGAATCATGACACTTTCTTATTCATGGATGGATCATCATGCTATAATCAAATTAAAATGGATCAAGAGGATGAAAAATATACATAATTTTGAACTACCATTGGCATATATTGCTACATGGTGATGTCGTTTGGCTTGAAAAATGCTGGAGGAACCTACCAAAGAGCAATGACTTGAATCTTTGATGATTCAAGCATTTTAAGTGCATAAAAAGAAGTTTTAAAGATTTGGTCATGCATGTAGCCGGTTAAGAAAATTATTAAGTGTTTTTAGAAGTATTATAAACATTATTTTATTTTATCTAAGTTTGTCTCTATAAATTTAATACTTTACAATATTTTGTATTTTAAAAGTGGGAAAAAAAAAACACGATGTCTTGAAGTTTTTATAAGATTATGTTTATGGTATTTGTAGAATTTTTACCTTATGTATCCTTTTCGCTGTGCCGTGCAACCTTAATACATAAGAAATTGTTTTTGCACTGTAATAATTATTTTGCCACATTTAAAATAGATTTTGTTGCGAAGGATTAAAATTGCTTCTGGTATTATCATAAAGAAATAGCTTCGATGATTTTAATAGTTCCATTTTGTTGTTAGTTTTGATTTTATTTTTATATACGAAAATATGAAAATATAATTTAAAAAAGAAATTTGAAGTAAAAATGTTTAATGTATTATATGTTTTAAAATTATATTAAAAAAATAAATTGAGATTCTTATTTTTAATGAACTTATAAATAAAAAATATCAATAAAACTAAAGGTAGAAAAGTCCGCATATTAGAGTAGTAATTGTGTTCAAAAGTATAATATACAAATATTTATCAATAAAATTTTAATCCAATGAATAATTTTTTTAATTAATTATGTAAGTTACATGATTTGAAGATTGATGTTTTCGTGTAAATCTATGTGGAGGGGACAAGGTTAAGGATTTCAATCAATAATAAAAAATGATAGATTTAACCTTTAGAGAGTGGTTTAAAGGAGTGTTATAATTGGGTTAGGTGCACTAATGAATAAATCTTACTCAATCAAAAAATTTAAATTTATGATGAGTGCTAATCATTTGATGTTTCTAGATTAATGTTATTGCATGATAAAACATTCATGTCAGTAGAGAGATGGAGTGTTTTATGCTCTAGCTTTATACAAAGATTTAGAATATAGACACATAAGAGAGATGGGTGTAAGAACCAAAAGAGACACCATATTTTTTATCTGAAAACCAATCTTGGGGCATTTGCCCAGTTGAAATGATTCCACTAATGATTGTTGTTGATTACAAATGACGTCCTTCTTCGAGGGAAGGCGTTGGCACAATATAGAAAATATACATCATATAAAGAACATTATATGGTTGGAGTTGGAAGAATCTAGTGATATGAGAAATGTTCTCAATAGAATGTTTGCATATTTGTTTGGTCAGTAGGATTGTGATCAGCTGGTGAATGAGGTCGGAGGGATCGAAGTTGGGCGAAATAGTCGGAGGGATCGAAGTTGGGCAAAAATAGTAGGAGGCATCATAGTCGGGCGACGGTGGTCAGGGGGATTGTAGTCAGTGGGTGATGGAGGTCAGAAGGATCGTAGTCTGGCGATAGTGAGCCATGGACCTTAATTGGCTGGCTATAGTAGTTTGAGGATCGTAGTCGACGACGATTATAGTTAAAGGTGCTATAGTTGGGTGATGGTGGTCAGAGGAACTATATTCGGTAAGTGATGAAGGTTTGTGAGATCATAGTCGACGGGAGATGGAGGTCAAGTAACTGAGGTTAGGGAGACTAAATTTGGGTGACATTGGTCGAAAGTACCATAGTCGATGGGTGAAGAAGGTCAGATGGATTGTGCCTGGCAATGGAGGTTAAAAGGATCATGGCAAGCGATTGAGGTCAGAAGGACTATAGTCAAATAACAATGGTTTAATAACCATAATTGATTGGTGAGAGTTCTGGGGGGCGGGGGGGGGAGCGTAGTCGGGCAACTGTTGACTATAAAAAAAAGAGAGCTAATAGATAAATTACAAAGCAACATACATGCCTTCGAGAGGGCCCCAACTCATACGGTTCATTCCTAAACGAAGCGATTGTCCGTTTAAAACAAAATAATCGTACATCCATTCCATTAAAATGACAAGCAGGAAAAGTCAGAAGAGGGCATTCACACTCCTCCTTCTCTCATCTCTTTGTAACACAAAATAGACAAAAGACAAAGCTCTACTTCTGCCTGTTTCTGACGTCAAACCCTCCACTTCAGTCAAACAGTCCGAAGCCATCGCCTTAGTGCCACTGAATCTCGCCCCAAGCGTAGCGAGGATTTGAATCCACCCAAAATTTTAGAGGGGTAGATTTTATTCGGTGATGTGCTAGGGTTTCCTTCTTCCCCAGCCGCCGTGACTTCTGGTGCTCCTCTCTCCTTCCCCTCTTCCGGCTTTGCCGGAGGAGTGATGGCCAACCGCTCTTCTCCCCCTCCTGAGGAGTTTCCTCCTCTTTCCTCCAAGGTACCCAAGCCTACTCAAGCGCCTACTCTCAGCTACAGTAATATTGTAGCGACTCCTCGTGCGGGGAATGCTTTCAAGCTTTCCTCTTCCATTCCACAAGATGATCCCCTGGATTACAACGAAGCTCACGTGAAGGCTGCTAAAGATGAATGGGGCCTATCCTTGATCGGTTATTCCATTGGTAGAAGATCTTATTACGAGTCTTTGCTCTCTGCCATGCGTAAGTTATGGAAGCTCAAAGGTATGATGAAATTACTTTCGTTGAGCGATGGTTTTTTCATGCGGTGTTTGGTTTTTTCTGGGTAAACCCTTCGTCTTGCAAAAATGGAAGCCAAATTTTAAGCCTGTTAGCGAAGAATTTTCCTCTGTCCCGATTTGGTTTAAAATCATCGATCTTCCGCTTCACTGTTGGACTCCAGAGGGTATTTCGCGGATTGCTAGTAAAATCGGTAAGCCTTTACTTGTGGATGATCTCACAGCTGAGAAAACAAGACTCACGTACGTCAGGGTCTGTGTTCAGGTCTCTAAAGATTATGCTTATCCTGAGACCATTCCTATTACCATCTTAGGGGAGCCGTTTACTCTCAAAATTCAATATGAATGGAAGCCCATTCCTTGTCAACATTGTGGATCGATTGTTCATTCCCCAGATTTTTGTCCTTCAAAGCCATCCTCTACTCAATCTGATGTTCGTATTCCTACGAGGGGAAGAAGTAACAGTCGTAAGCCGCCAAAACATGCGCATCGAAATTCTTCAAGCAGCTTTTCGAAGAAGAACTTACCATCCGATTCGACCGAAGGGCTTCATTCTGTTCTTCTTGCCAGTCATTCTGCTTCTCAACTTCATAATGATCAAACGACAAACACCATCACTCAAATACCGTCAATCAACATTCCTTCCACTTCGCAGGTTACTCCAGTGATTATTCCACCTAACAACATCCAGTCTTCTTTATCTCACATTCCGAATTTGAATTCCCCCACGGATGAATTGCCTAGCACTAGTTCGGCCATTTTACCCAAAAAAAAGCAAGAAAAGGTTTTATCGCCTAATAAATTTGCTATTTTGGGGGAAAGCAATGTGGACAATGTTCAGACTTCCTCTTCTTCTTCTAGTCAAGAACAAGCACGAAAGGTTCCTCCAGTTCAATCAAAAGCTTCTAGGAGTAAAGCTGGCAAAAAAACTCCAAACCACTCTAAATCCTAATGACCCCTCCATGTCTTGCGGCTTGGAATGTGAGAGGTTTTAACAGGCCCGAGAAGGTTAGGGCTTGTAAGGATTTAGTTCGTTGTCACAAACTTGATCTCATTTGTGTTTTGGAGAACATGATACATAATAAATCCTTGATGGATCCTTGGTTCCGTATGAATCATGAAATTTTTGTGAATGAAGAAAGTTGCCATAACTTTAACCTTTCCAAATCGGGTAGGATTTGGATTAAATGGAATCCCATGCACATTCATTTCATTCCCACCATTTGCACGTCACAGTTAATTTCAGGAAATCTGTATAGTGGCACTGAGCTGATCTGCGTTCTTTCTGTCATTTACGCTTCTAATGACCAAGCTGACAGGCTTCAGTTGTGGGATAAAATCAGGGAGCTGGGTGTGAGTATTTCCTCTCCTTGGCTGATTCTGGGGGATTTCAACTGCTGCTTAAATGCTAGTGAAAAGTCTGGTGGGACTCCTCTTCTTGCTTCACAACTTTGGGACTTTAATTCCCTTCTTTTTGATGTGTGCTTATTTGACTTAGCCTCTATTGGCTTGAAGTTCTCCTGGTTCAATCAAAGGGCCAATGATCCTATTCACCTGAAATTGGATAGGATGCTTATTAATGACAAATGGCTGGAATCCTTCCCTACTTCTAGATACAAAGTGTTAGCTCCTTCTTGCTCTGATCACTCACCCATTGTCCTTCAAAGTGGTCAGACAGCTAATGGGAATCATAGATTCCTTTTCAAAAATTTTTAGACAAAGCAAGATGAATTTTGGCATGTTCTTCTGGACATTTTTTCTCAACCCATTAGAGGTAACCCTATTTTAGGGCTATATAGCAAGCTTAAAAATCTGAAGTTGAGGCTTAAAGGTTATGATTGGACAAACTCTTCTCTTTTGTCCAATCAATTCATTTCTCTAAAGGAGCAACAGTCTTGCTGTTTGGGTTTACTTAATAATGACCCTCAGAACCTATCTTTGAACCAAAGATTGAAGGGAATTAATGCTCAAATTGCTGACTGCTCTTCTTCTTGGACTAATTGGATGCTACAAAGGGCAAAAATAAAATGGCTTTCACAAGGGGAAGATGATTTGAAATTTCTTTATGCTAGAGTAAGGAGAAGGAGGAATATCTGCTCTTCCAAATTGGTGGCTTCTGATGACCCTAATGTTAGGATTAATATGGTTAGCTCTATCATTGAACACTTTGAGAAGTTATTCAATGCTCCTAATCCTCCCGCTTGCTGTGATCCTCTGCCTATTCCGGAAGGTAACATCATTCCTCCTCATCTTGCCTCTTTACTCACTGCTCCTATTTCTGATGATGACATAAAGGCCGTTATTTTCCATGGGAGCTCCAACTCCTCTCCTGGGCCTGATGGGTTCAATTTTGAGTTTTATAAATCGTCTTGGCTTTTTACGGGCCCTTTGATTTGCAAAGCGGTTAAATCTTTTTTCTCCAAAGGTTACCTTCCCAAATTTATTAAAGCCTCGGCTATTGCTCTTATCCCAAAAACTGCACATGCTTCTAACATTACAGATTTCAGACCTATTGCCCTATGTAATGTTTTTTACAAGATCATCACAAAAATTATGGCGCTAAGGATGAAAGATTTCATGCCTTTAATCATTGGGGAAAATCAAGGTGGCTTTATAAAGAATCGTATTGGTACTGATAATGCTCTTCTCGCCTCTGAGATTCTTTTGGATTTCAAAAAAGCTGCCAATCGGAAATTTATGTGTGTCAAGCTTGATATCCGTAAAGCTTTCGACTCTGTCTCTCGTGACTTCATTCTTTTCAGAATGAAACAAAAAGGTTTTCCTTCTACTTTCATTAATTGGACCAAAGCCTGTATTTATGACGTTCCTTTTTCTATTTGTATTGATGGTGCTCTTGAAGGCTATTTCCATTCCACCTCGGGTATTAGGCAAGGGTGCCCGCTTAGCCCCTATTTATTCTGTATTGCTATGGACGCTTTCACTTGTATGATTGATAATCATTCTGCGGTGGACAGATTTATGGGGATCCATAAGAAGGATTTGGTTATCTCTCATTTGCTTTATGCAGATGATCTTCTTATTTTTGGGGAGGCAACGGTACAGAATTGTAAAGTGCTTGTGGACATACTGGATGGTTTTGCTCAGTTGTCTGGGCTAAAGGTCAATCATGAGAAAAGCAATCTTATCATCTCCAAATCTATTTCTAATCCTCTGCTTATTGCTGAAGCTCTCAACATCTCTTCTTTTGGGGATAAAATGACTTATCTTGGGATCCCAATATCTGTTAAAAAATTGAGTAAAGCTGACTACCAGCTTTTGCTGAACACCATCTCTAAGCACCTTGCGGGTTGGAAAGCCCGTCTGCTGTCTTTTGCTGGGAGGCTGCAGTTCGTTAAATACACGATTTGCAATACGATTATCTACTGGGTTAGGGGAACTATGCTGTCTAAATCTTGCATTAGGAATCTTAATAGGATGTGCTCTAGATTTCTATATTTTGGAGATGTGGAGGCTCGGAAGGTTTTTTTGATTGCTTGGAATAACACCTGTAAGCCAAAGCATTTGGGCGGGTTGGGTATTCCGAACCTGCTTGGTCTTCAATTTGCTAATACTTGCTCACTGGTTCTGAGATTCTACAATTCTAACTCCATGCTTTTTAAATTTTTAAATGTCAAATATGGTACACCTTGGACCCCGATTTTAGGCAAGGCCTCATCCCTTTGGTGCGATATGAATAGGATTGCCATACAGATTAATCCCATTATTAGCTTTGAGCTTTATTCCAACATCATTGTCTCTCTACTCTGGGATCCTTGGTTTCACGGGAAATCCATAATGGTGGAATGTGCAAATCAAAACTTAAATACTGTTATCCCTTGTCATGCCACGGTTTCTGATTTTACGGGGCATGTTGGCTGGTTGTTACCTTCTCTTATTTCTGAGTTTTTAGCTGATTCTATTCAGCAATCTGATAGCAGCCAAGGGGTTTGGAGAGAAAGGAATGAAAGAAGGTTTAATTTCAAAACTAGATGCTCAACTACTCTTTCAATGCTTATCAAAAATGCTGTTGATGCTAAGATTATCAAATGGAAAGCTACGGTTAATCTTCAAAACTCGTCATCTGTTCTCGGTAATCTGGAACCGGGGCCTGCTGCTTGAGCCATGATGTTGGCTGTTCTCATGTGGGAAAGTTTACTGTTATTGGTTTTTGATGCTGGAAGGACATAGCTATTCTGATTCTGGTTCTATTTCGCTGGGCATTGTTCTTAATCTCTTGGTTTGTTGTCTATCTGCTTCTCTTTTTGGAGATTTGGTTGGCTCGTTTCTTTCCCGTACAGGACGATGATGTAGCTGCTAATCATCTCCTTGGAGGGCCTTTCTTTTTGGGCAACCAGGAGATTATTTCTTTGTGGGTGCCGTTTTGATCAAGTTGATTTCGGATTAGCAGTCTGAGTCCTTTAGGTGCTCTTGCACCTAAGTTTTGTGAACTGTGTTCTGGGCTGTGTTGTTTTTCTTTTTGTCTAATGTGGGGGGTATAAGTTTTTGGTTTTTCTTCAATTTTTGAAGTTTAAACCTTTTTTGTTATACCTTACTTGTAACCTTCTTTTACATAGTAATATATGGGCTTTGCCCTCATTTTCCCCAAAAAAAAAAAAAAAAAAAAAAAAAAAATCTCGCCCCAAGCCTTTGTCCCAACGTCCAATACACTCCATCTTCTCCTCTGACGCGATTGACCCTGACGTCTGACTCTGACGTTGCTTTTCAATTTCTTCACTTTGCAGAAGGGCAGAGATCGCACGAGTAGCTCTTCAGTTCCTTCGTTACTGTCAGATGTTGCTTTACAGGAGGGCAGAGATCGCACGAGTCACCTTTATTGCTGTTCGACTTCATTGCTTAATAGAGGTATAAAGATTACACGAGTCGACTTCTTCAACTCCCTTTTGACTAATCAATTTAGCTCTTTGGACAACTACCCTAGCCAAAACTTCACCGTGCCTGAGCTGACTCCAATCAAACCCTTTCTCCCTTTCTTTTTTAAATGTATATTATAATATATAATATTATATATAAAAAATATATTATGATATATCTATATCATAATATATTATTTTTATTATTTATATAATATCATATATCTAAAGAGAGAGAGAAAGTGTGATATAATAAAAAAAAGAGACTTTCAAGCCTGTGTCGAAGACCCACACCATCGATCTTAGATCTGGGTGGATGGTTTTAAAATTTGAAGACCTACACCATAGATCTTAGATTTGGGTAGATTGTTTTAAAGATTAAAGACTCCATACCATCGTATCTTAGATTAGGCTGGGATGGTTCCAAATCGAAGATACTACGCCGTTAACCTTAGGTCTGTGTAGGAAGAAATTACGGCAAATGCCGTTTGATTTCTCCCTCGATGGGGACGGGACGATAGGAGGCTGTCGAAATTTCTTCAAAATTTTATAGGGCAGTTCAATTCAAATATTCAATAACTAATTTGATTAATTAATGTTTATTAAAAATTAATAAAAGTAATTAATTAATTTCGGGAATACCTATCATTATAATGAAAGTTTTGAATATATTCAAGATAAGGGAATAACTCGATATTATCATCATCTTCACTATGACTTATGTCTATCCCTTTCCACTTGTATTCATGACAAACAAGAATGAAAATGTGAATCAAGTGGAGAGTACCTTAAAATCATTATGTTTTTTTTTTAATCTTTGATCAACCTTATATATCGTACTGGAAAAACTCAATGAATTATGTACATCTCATAGTATGGGCAAATCCTACTCCTCATCATTCTCCCAAAAGTTATCCAATATAAGTAAAATTTTTTGACATCATTTCACTCCTAAAAGACTATCTTGAAGAGTCTAAAAAATCTTTAAATGAGACCTCTATTTAAGAGATTCCAATATAAGTAGCATTGAGTAGAAGATCATGAAGTTATTGTGAAATTTTAAATACTCAAAATTATTGATTAATTGAAATTAATTGGTTAATTTTAAAATACAAAAGTATTTTTTAAGTCGGAAAGTTTTAAAAATCTAAGAGTAGGTTAAAAGTCAAGAGCATTAATATTTAGTGACTAATTCGAGCAATTATGAAATGACATATAATAAAAAAAGAGGGGGGGGGGGAATGATTTCCTATTAATCAACATATACAATTAGTACTCTCCAAATTCTTACAAACTCTCCAAGTAATAAACTCAAAAGAACTCACAACAAACCCTTGAACCCTTCAGAACAACTCAACATTATATAAAACCCATATATAGACAGTTCTTAAACTCCCCAAACCTATACAAACACAAACTGAAACTCTCCAACAAAACAACACACTCTACATGGTTCCAAATCTCCAGTATGAACTCCTACAACAAATAAATAAACTCATTAAGAATTGAAATTAATTTAATATAAAAAATAAATGCTAAAATAGAAAAATATTGCACTAAATTACTAGTACACTAGTGCATGAAAAGTAAACTACTAGTGCTAAAAAGAAACTATCAAATGGTTAGAAAAGAGCTACGGTAGAAATGCACTAACATCACACAACGATAAATTGAAACCCATAGACTAGGGTCAAACCTCTTAAGCAATAGGTGTCCACTCAAACAATCAAACAAATCTAAATAAAATAAATGGGTAGCCTTTTTTACAATAACAAGGTTGTAAGATCCATCCCATGACCCCTTCTAATGGAAGCCATAAGTCTGACCTCTATGGGAAATGTTTAGGTGATAGCATAACATTAGAATCCTCTCTCGGGCATCCTAGCCTATAGGGCTTAGTTGTAAGGACCACAACTCATGCCACTTAGCTTACCAAGCTAGGTCGTAAGATCCATCATTAGGTAACTTCTAAGGAAGAAATAAGACCTACCTAGATGAAATCTTTGGGATACCTTTAGTAGAGGTCGTAAGTCCCACTAACTGAACTACTTTCTAATGAAAGCCATAAGTCCCTACCCAAATCTAATCAAACGGATATCTCTTGTTAAAAAATTAAGGAAAAAATCCTCAATAGAGAATTTAATTTTTAAATAATTCTTTGACATACAATAATTATGACATTAGGCCCATTTTGAAAGCATGTGAAATTTTTATCATAAATTTCTCAACAAAACAAATAAAAGCACTAACAGTTATTGTGTGCACTGGGTATCCTAATCCATAGGACTAGCTTATGAGACCCACCAATAGACAAGTTCCAAGTGAAATTGAAAGACCCACATTTTAGAAAAATTGCTAAATAAATAACAATGATCCTAAACCCCAACCAATCCAATTCAAACTAATGAATATGTTAATTTAAAGGATTAAGTTACAAGACCCACTTTCATGCTACTTTCTAAGTGAAGTCATAAGACCTACCCTAAATAATTAATTTCCTAGGTACCATTGCTGTAGAGTTAGGTTGCAAGACCTATCTTTGACTTCACTTAGAAAGTAGCATGAAAGTGGGTCTATCTCCATTTCCCCATAATTGAGACTAAAAACTTAAAAAAAATATTCATCTTTAATCGAGAGTTCTATATTACAAGCTAAGATGGGAAATTAACTATGAATATATTTATTCATGAGAAGTAAGGACCCTAGATCTAATTAAACCCTAACATTACCCTGAGGAGAAATCTAGTTAACTATAAATTGACTTAAGAAAAATGGAATCTTATGTCAGTCAAGTGTGATTCATGGATTTGTGCTATTTTTTTGAGACAACAGATTTTTGGTGACTTCATTAGGGATAGCTTTTCTCTCATTCTTTAGATAAAAAAAATTTATATATGGTCTCAAATAACTAAACATAAAAAAAATAAATATAAATGTTCATTCAATGCAAGCCTGTGTTTTCTTTTCCAACAGAATTTAGGTTGACTCTAATCCCTGCATATTCTATTGAGAGGTTGATAATATGACGCCTCTAAAGTCCTTCATGACTGTGAAACTAGGCAAGGGAGCTAGAATGTAGTTCCCTCAAGCCTTCTTAAACACAGGCTATGCTTGAGCGACCATTCATTTCAAAATTATTTATGAAGTAATGCAATTCTAATATTTCATTCATAAGAATATTGTTAGTGTACGTGCTATTAGAGTTGTCGCTAATAAGCCTACTACTGAAGCTATTTATGAGAAGGGTCCCAAGAGGGAATCTATATTTTCAGCATCTATACCTCTACCATTAAATTTTTTTTTTTTTTTATCGCAAGCTGCAATTTATTAGCATGAGTACAACCAATCAGGACATAATCTAGGATGATGTAACTAAAGAGTATAATATTGAAATTTCTTATGCAAGTACTTAGCTTTCCAGGAAAGCTAGAAGAAAGGCCAATGCTTACTTATGAGCTAATGACTGGGTACCTAATACACTTTAAGAATCATCACAACAGCTAGAGGTAAATGTACTAACCAATAATGGTTTTGAATTATTAAATGGGTAAAAAGAAATGTTGAAAAGAAAAAAATAAAGAAGTCTTTCTGGGAGACTCCTCGTTGATAATTATAGCTGCTAAATAAGGAACAATATGCATCTTTCAAGAAATATAAGATATTGAAGGATGTCAAAGACAAAAATTTGCAATGAAGGCTAAGAAAATATGTTAATAGAGTTATTTCTTTTAATGTGACTCTACCTCAGAACAATAAAGTTTCAAAAAGAACTTATAGAGAGGAGTTTAAACTTCCTCCCTACTTTTGAGAGCCAAGGAATTTCTGTCCTAATATGAGCCAATACCAATATTATAAAAGAAAATAGTTGGAAGAGCCTTTTGATAATCTATATGAAAGATGCTATGGAAAAAGATATAATAAACAAAAGTCACAATAATGGTATCATGAATATGTCCATTCGAATATTTATTCTGATGTTGGTGGTCATCGATATGTGACTATAAAAAGATAGCAAGTTTGGGTTCCAAAATGACCCAAATATCCTGAAGCTAAAAAAGAAGAATATAATAGAGAAATCTATAAAGGGATACTTAAATCTCATGTCCAAAAGTTATCCCCCAATAAGGAAACTTATGTTGAAATGACTACGCCAAAAGTGGAAGAGAATTATATCTATAATGAATCCCCCGACTCTCCAGTTATACATTAGAAGCGACATTCTGAATTTGGAGATGATCATGAGTTGGATGAAAAGGATAATTGCTACAATGATGATGAAGAAGTGGAAGGGTGTATTAGTCCCATGGACATTAAATTTATTCAGATGGTATACTTGTAGAAGTGCAACATTGTTTAAAAAAAATGAAGAACAACTATGAGATGACAAATAACAAGCAGCGATTATGAGTTTAACTCTATAACCAGAAGAAGTTGAGGAGGAAAACGTTGAAGAAGTTGTAAAGAAGTTACAATTGGATATGCAATCCATGTGACAACAGAAAGATCAAGAAATCCATCATTTGAATGCTCATCTTGATGAGATGAGTAATATGTTGAAATAATTATTTTGACAACTTGGCATGATGGCTATAACTAGCCAACCACCCATAGAAAATACTCAAGGAAATGTTGAAACTAATCACTTTGTACTGCTCACTTATGATAGAATATTTGAGGTGTTACAGGAGCCAATATTGATAATTCCTAAAGAAGGTGAAATGGTTAGCAAATATAAAATAGAGAATCTCATTAGCCAAATGGATAAAGCAACTACTGCTTCTGATGCTGTTGAAGCCTTAGTTGGAAAATGGCATCCATATCTAGTGAAATATGACCAAGAGAAGTATCCAAAGATATACATAGTGCCAAAATTCAATATATTTAATGATACTAGAAATCCTCATCATCATTTAGCTCAATCCAAAGTTACATGTGGAAATATTGGCGGTAATGATGCTTTATTACTACCACAATTTGTTAGCATCTTAATAGGTATATCTTTTAAATGGTATGTTGCATTACCAATTGAATTAGTAAAAACATTCGCTGAATTAGAAATGATGTTCATTAAAAGATTCACCAGTGCAACAAAGAAGGTGATTATTGCTGACCTCGCTCTTGAGAAAAGGGAAAGAGAGAAATCAATCACAAAGTATATAACCAAGTGGAGAAATCTCAACATTAAATGCAAGTAACAACTCACTAAAAAGCATGATGTTGAGCTATTAATGGGAAACATAGATGACCATATGGCTACATACATGGAAACAACTATAATCAATGCTTTCTAGGAGTTATTGGATCGTTTAGCCAAAATTAAAAAGTTAATTAGGCTTAGAAGTGTCGGCTTTAACTATAATAATAATCCGTAAGGGAAGAAAAAATAGGCCAAGACCTTTGATCCGAAAAGAAGTGAGGTGAATACTCAATCCAATCTTCCTTGGATAAGAAAGAAAAATAAGAATATAAGATTCAATGAATCCACTGAGGATGCTGAAATGAATAAGGGAGAGGAAAAGGCCTCCTAACTTATAGGAGAAAATTAACAAGCCGTATTCTTTCAAAAAGGATTAAACAAAAAAGATTTTTAGGCATGCACTAATGATCGGCCTTCAATTGCCAGAATTCCGTAGACCAGAACAGGCTGCCATACCTGATGATCCAAATTACTATTTGTATCATAGGATCATTAGTCACCCAATTAAAGATTATTTTACATTCAAAGATTGGGTTGAAAGAAATTATCAGAATGGTAAAATTATATTTTTTAATATTGTTCTTATCAATCCCAAGAGCGTTAAAACTAATGTTATCTTTTCTATACCCTGTGAAAGCACAGGGGACAAAAAAGGAAAAGCACCCCAAGAAGATGAAGGTGGTTAAGATACCTTTATTTAAAAGAAAACTAAATAAATGATGAATGTCTTACATGGCATTAAAGACATTTGTCCTAAAAGTATATTAGAATTGGAAGTCAATCCAAGACTCCTTTCTTCAAAGAATAGTTTAAGAAAGAAGAAAACCTTTGAAATATTTCAAAAACCAAAAAGGAAAACATAAGCCTGGATCAAAATCTTAGAAAGAAAAGAAGAAGAAATTAACAAAGTTGAAATCATTGACTAAAAATACATTGATTCTATCATTGAATATAAACAACCTCCAAGGTGTCCATCTAAGCTAGAGGAATACATTGCTAATTTATTTCTTGACTCAAAATAAAAAAAGGAAGAGAGTATTTCAATTCAGACTTGTTGAGTCATAAATAAATGAGGTGGAAGGGCTGCAAGAGGATGCAATACACCTCTTGTTATCTATGAAGTTGATGTGGAAATTACTTATAAGGAAGGACATCATATACCAACACCTTTTACTAATTCAGATGAAGAATTATATTTTCTTAATGAGGAAAATGATCATAAGGTCAAGAAGTTTCCTAAAGAAAAATATCCAAAACTGAAAAGTAGCTTAGATTTCAAGGAAGTTGAAGACATGGAAATTTCAAAGAACTCTCAAGTTGAAGCTAGTTCATCTTCAGAGGTGACACAAATCAAGCTGAGAAGCGGAAAACAAGTTTATCTACCTCAAAAGAAAATAAAGGATAATGAGAATGTCAGTGCAAATATGGATTACAATCAATTATCCCATCTCCATAAATTACCTACACTGTTGAGCGACTATGATGCCATTCGTATATCTAAGAACATATGGGAAATACTCATTAAAGCTTTGTAAAATCCTGAACAGTATGAGGTGTTCTTTGCTGAGCAAAAGTTGAAAGAAGCTTTTCATATACATAATACTGCTACAATCACTTTCTATGATAGTGATCTACTCTTGGGAACTACATATTATAATTGGCCACTATATGTTACTGTAGAGAGTAACAACATTGAAATAAATAGAATTTTGATCAACCAAGGTTTCTTTGTTGATCTAATGAGACTCAAAATGCTCAACGGATTGGCCCTAGACGTTCAATACTTGAATAGAAGGATAATGTTTTATAAGGATTCAACGAGCAAGGGAAAACAACCCTGGGATCTTTGGTCTTACCTCTAAACTTTAGGGAACTTAAAATAGAGGCAACATTTCATATCAAATATTCTCACACATCATACAATGCACTTCTCGGAAGACCATTGCTCCACGAGTATTGTATAGTGCCTTCAACACTTCATCAATGTATAAAATACATTCAAGATAATGAAGAATATCACATTGATGATGATGAACAACTAATCTTGGTTAATGAAGTCAAAATCTTTGATGATGCCAAGTACTTTATAAATCAAAAGCCAAACGATAGCGAGCTTATGAGAATTTAGGCTATTATGCTAGATAAGAAAAAGCTGAAAGTTAAAAGCAAGAATAAATCAAAGAAAATTTGCTCAGTGCCATATCGTGGTAATGATATCAAAGTGGACGATGATATCTCCACAAATTTTAAGCCCCTAATCATTGGGAAAAGAAAGAATGAACTATAAACTATCCCTTTTAATTATGAAGTTATTCAAATAAATTTGATATAATATTCAAGCAAACCATACATCAAAAGGGAAGAAGAATTCCTTTATCATCCCAAGGGTACAATGAAATCTCAGGAGAAATGGGACCCAACACCCAATTTCATATATAAGAAATTATAAAAAGTATCTAATTCAATAATAATGTAGTTTGAAGATTACATATCATCAAAATAATATCGATACCTATGGCACATTCCAAAATATTGACTATCTCAATAAATACAAATATAAAAATGTTAAAAACTTTCTATGCTCCTCCAAAAGAGGTCTCAATGAACATGGATCCATTTTCTATAAATCAAGGGTAATACCACACCATATTACTCATGAAATATAATATGAAGATGATTGGAAATATGGATAAATGTTAGTCATCATTCCTCAATATCCTCCACCCATTATGAGAAAGCTAATAGAAGAAGAATATTCTTTGTGAAAATAAGCAAGCAAGTCCATTACTTCAAAGAGCTCTAGCATAATGAGCAAGCATAAAAGCCTATTGGTACTGGTTTGTCTACAACATGGGGTCTTGGATATGCTCGACATTCATATCTCACATGAGTAGCATCTTAACACTATCTTGAATGCCCAAGACATTCACATCTTACATATGCAACCTCCTATAATATTATAGATAAGGAAGAGAGACCATCAAAATATGAAAATTAAGTAGAAGATCTAATTGTAGATCTAAAAGAAGCCCCAAAAGAGTTAAAAGAAGATGGCCAAGCTACTGTGGATGAAATCAAGGAGATTATTTTTGGTACTGAAAAAGATCCCAAACATACATTCCTCAATGCAAATCTCTCGCAGGATAAAGCAGAGGAGCTAAGAATGTTACTTTTTGAATATAAAGACTACTTCACATGGAACTACACTGAAATGCTTGGATTATCACCAAAACTAGTAGTGCACAAAATCTCTATCGACACCATAATACTTCCTGTCAAGCGAGAACTTAAACGAATACGACTTGAAATTTAAGAATAAGTCATTACTAAAACTAAGAAGCTTATTGAAGCTATTTTTTTTTTTTTGACAAGAGAAGTATGCTGACTAGATCGCTAATATTGTTTTGGTTAAGAAAAAGAATGGTCAAATTCATGTCTATATAGACCACCTATATTTAAATAAAGTATGCCCAAAGGATGATTTTCCACAGCCCAATACAAAAGTTATGGTTGATAACACATCAAAGCATGACATTCTCTCATTCATGGATGGATCATCATGCTATAATCAAATTAAAATGGATATAGAGGATGAAAAATATACCTAATTTTAAACTCTTATTGGCATATATTACTACATGGTGATGCCATTTGACTTGAAAAATGGTGGAGCAACCTACCAAAAAACAATGGCTTGAATCTTTGATGATCTAATTTATAAACATGCTGAATGTTATGTTGATGATTTGGTTGTGAAAAGTTAAGTTCAATATGAGAATGTAAATGATCTTAAGATTGTATTCAAAAGAATTCAAAAATTCAATTTGAAAATAAATCCATTAAAGTGTACTATCAAGTTATATCCTAAAATTCCTTAGATTTATTGTACGTCATAGAGGAATTGAAATTGATCTCTCTAAAATTAAAGCAATCATGGAAATGTCACCTCCTAAAAAATTAAAACAACTTTGTTCAATCCAGGGTAGATTAGCATACATTCGAAGGTTTATATCTAATCTTTCAGGTAGATGTCAATCAATAGTATGTCTAATAAAAAAAATACACCATTTATATGGGATGATGCTTGCCAGGAAGCATTTGATTGCATAAAATAATATTTGATACATCTTTCAATTCTTGCAGCCCCAACCCCAAGTAAACCATAAATTTTATATTAATCAGCTCTTGAAGAATCACTCAGAGCATTGTTAGCACAAATAAATAAAGATGGAAAAGAAATGTCCTTTATTATATCCATCGACAATTAATATGGGTAGAATCAAAATATTCATCAATTGAAAAGTAATGCTTAGAATTAATTTTTGATGCTAAAAAACTTCAGCATTATATATTATCCAATAAAATCTCTTTAATATCAAAAGTGGATATATTAAAATTCTTAACGATTAGACCCACTCTCAGTGGTCGTGTATCTAAATGAACCATCTTACTAATGCAATTTGACATCACATATACGCCATAAAAGGGGTGAAAGGATAAGCTCTAGCTAGTTTTCTAGCCACCCATCCTATGGATTCTATACTCAATGATGAGTTGCTAGATGAGTGAACACTCAAAGTGGAAGAATTTTTTTTTTTTTTAAGAATATTCGATGGAGCTTCATCAATAAAACCAGCTAGACAACTTAAAATTCTAACGATTCAAGTGGGTATTGGCCTTACATTTATTACACCATAAAAAGGAATACTGAATATTCCTATAAATTATTAGAGCTTCGTGCTAATAATGAGGGTTAATATGAAGCTTTAATAGTAGGTCTTGAGTTGGCAATTAATATGAAAATTAAGAAACTCTCTATATATGGAGATTATCAACTCATTATCAAACAAATAATATGTTCTTTCAAAATCAATAAGCTTGAATTAATCTTATATCATGAGTATACTCTAAAACTCTTATAAGAAATTCCTGAGGTAACTCTCACTTGAATTACGTGTAGTGAAAATAGTAAAGCTGATGCGTTGGTAAAACTACCCAAAGAACTAGTAAATTACTAGGAGGATCCAATTATCATAATTATTGTAAATCGACATGACTCCAGCTATCATACAAGAAGATGAAGGAAAATAAATGCAAGAAAGCCTAGTTATATCTGATGAAATGATTGGAGAGATCCATTCATAAGATACTTCATGGAAGGGAGATTGCCCAAAAATAAATCTATGGCTTCACAAATATCACAAAGAGCATTAAGATATGATTACATGAATGATACACTGTATCATAGATCATTTGACCAATGTGTCTATGATGTTTGAGTCCTAATGAATCCCAAGAAGTCAAAAGTGAAGTTAACCAAGGATTGTGTGGTGCTCACCAATCTGGCCCAAAAATAAAAATTAAAATAAAATGTATGTGATACTATTAGTCAAGTATAGTTCAAGATTGCATCGACCATGCTTAGAAATACCATTAATATTACGTCTTGAGGTCGAGTCACCATCTCTTTGTATTATTATTCAATACGAAATAACCAAAGAATAAAATGATCTTTTACAACTTGAAAAACTTGAAACTCTTGATTAAGTTTGACTTCAAGCTCAACAAAGTCTAGAATCCTTCCATGATAGAATGGTTCATCCAAGAAGCTTTAAATAAGGTGAACTTATTCTAGTTCACCGAAGAACTATAATCCCTTACCATCGCCTTGGCAGTAAATTTGACCCAATTTGGGAAGGACCCTTCATCATTGACATAATGTGTGAAGGAGGAGGCTACCAACACATAGACCTAAAAGGTCGAAGACCCATGCCACCAATAAATGATTAATATCTAAAGAAATATCATGCATAAAGATTTATTGTATGCAAATTTATCTACAATACAGGAGATAAATACCAAATTCCCTCTTGAAAGACAGGAGATAATTTTAATATTCTCCAATAATACATGAGATAAATTAAATCCCCTCCTGAATGATAAGAGGCAACTTTTATATTCTTCTGCAAGGCAGGAGACAAATCCTAAATCCCCTCCTAAATGATAGGATGTAATTTTTATATTCTCCTACAATACAAGAGATAAATTCAATCCTCTCCTGAAAGATAAGAGGTAACTTTTATATTCTCCTATAAACTAGGAGACAAATTCTAAATCCTCTCCTGAAAGACACGAGAAAATTTTTCTATTTTCTCACAAAGCTAAAGATAAATCCAAAATCCCTCCTAAAAGATAGGAGGTAGTTTCTATAAAAAACCCCTTCGGCAAAAAAAAAGTAAGGGAATTATAAAATTATATATTGATAAAATAATCCATAGTCAACTACTAAAATTGAATCGCTCACAAACCTAATGGTCGAGCTAATTTCAAATAGGTTCAACAAGCCTATGTGCTTAACTTTTCTAAATCTTTTAGGCTAAAAATCCTAAGGATTGAGCTAAAATTTATAGGTTTAATAGATCTAAAGACTAAACCTTTAAAAACTATGCTCACCTAAGAGTTGAGCTTAATTGTATAGGTTCAACAAGACTAAGGGCCGAATCTTTCTAAATCTTTTATGCTAAAAAACCTAAGA